GCTCCTGGACGGAGCTCTCCCCATCCGGCAGTATTACAGCCCGCGGGTTTGCTTCCGCGGTGTGGAATCCCACTGCCCAGGCCATGCTGGGTTTCGGCGGCCAGGACAGCTCCAACTACCTGGACACTGCTTTCCAGCGGCCAGGCTGCATTTCAAGAACCTATCCGCGTTTCTTTTTCTGGGGTCTTGCACAGCCTCTCTGTTGCAGAACACGTTGTTTTTGAGCCAGTGAACAGTGCGCAGTGCGCAGGGCACGGCTTTCATAATGCGCAGACGAGCTCACTGGTAGCTAGTAGGGAATGGACAAACTGATCTGTGCCATAGCTCCAATACTGTCGAGTCCCGATTAACATCCGGCGTCTGATATGTACAAAGCTGGGGGGGAGACATTCAGCAGCCCCATCACTCTGCTTGGAGGTCCTAATCCAACCTGCTCTTGCTAGACCCTAAATCCTAAACCCTAAGGCTAATACAACGCTGTCAAGATGTGAAGTCAGTGAGGGTTCGGGGCAGGTCCGAAATTGGCGATTCATTAGCACACTGTTTAGGGTTTAATCACTTTTGCAAGATGGTGGTCCAACAGCTGCCCACGTCCTCAAACACGAGAATGTTTTGGTGTTGCTGATGTTTCTTGATTTTGGGGCCCAGTGGGGGAACCTAGAAAGCAAAAGCTTGCGCTTTTGAAGGTTCAGTATCTAAATGTAAAAGCAATACTTCCAAGATATCAGGCCTCCGGACTTGAGGTTTCAGGCCAGTTGCAAACGTCGACGTTGTATTGAAGCGCCTTTTCGAGGACACCAGGCAATCATCCTTGCAGAGGGTCCAACCGTTACCCAGGTCCTCAATATCGGGAATGTTTGAGGGGTGCAAATATGGCGAAATCGTAAGGCCCCCTGGGGATTCCAGAAAGCAACGCCTATGGAATGCAGATTAAACACTACTGAGCATTACTGAGCTCTGGAATATCGAATTCACTTTTAAAACAACTGCTGAGCACTGAGCCCTGCAACGCTCCGACGATAGCACTTAGATGAAACACAGCTACCTAAACCCCAAAAGTATGTAAAATAATAGCCCTAAACCCATAAGAATAGCCATAAAGGCCATTATTTTACATACTTTTGGGATCCAGGTAGTGAGCTATCCCCTTTTGAATGTAACTTCGATCAGCTGATATGAGAATCCTTCTGAGCCGATCCGGCTTCTGAACTCTTCTGACGTCCGTTTCAAATCCTTCCGAGTTCCTTCTGAACAAGTCTCCATCTCTTCCGGAACCATTCCGAGTTTTTACCTGAACTGACCCCTCTTATTGAATGAAACTTAGAGCCAAGATCCAAATTTGGTCGGGGGTCCCACACCCCCCGCTGCGAATTGGGAGCGCATTTGGTTTGACGGGGAGGGATGTGTTTAGACCAATCAGGATCCAATATCTGTACAATGAATTGACGTACTCCCAATTTCCTATTCTTTCATTCCTGACTAGCGATTGCTAAGCAAGGGGGCGGGGAATTGAAAGCCAGGTCCTTAATTCGAAAGGTACACAGACCTGGGGCATTATTGCAAAGGGTCTAACTAAGACACTAGACTAGAGGTTCGAGTACTAGACGTGGGCAGTATCCAACTCCAGAAGATCTGAAAACCCCTCAGCCCTACCTAAACCCCAAAAGTATGTAAAATAATAGCCCTCAACCCATAAGAAAAGCCATAAAGGCCATTATTTTATATACTTTTGGGGTCCAGGTATCTCCTCACAGGAAGCTCCGCAACATTCCAAAAACTTCTTTTCAACTCTGCGAGCCTTATCCGATGATTTGCACTGTTCACGAAAGCCCCTACCCAGACCTATGGGAGGATCTAAAAATTAGATTCTATATAGACCCATTATGACCCCTATATAATCCTTATATAATTTCCCATATGGTTCTAGGGGATCTAATTTTTAGATCCCTTTAGGGGTCTGGGCACTTATTCCCTAAACCCTAAACCCCTAAACCCTAAACCACTTAAACCCTAAACCCTAAAACCCCTAAACCCCTACACCCTGAGGTATAGCACGGATGTTCAGAGCTGGAGTGAGCAGAGCAATGCTGGCCCTTCTGCACGGTACAAAGGCGAGCTTTCTCAGGGTTTAGGGGCTTAGGGGTTTCGGGTTTAGGGGTTTCATCCCCTGTTATGATTACCTAAACCCTAAAAGTATGTAAAATAATAGCCCTAAACTCCTAATTATAGCCATAAAGGCCATTATTTTACATACCTTTGGGGTTCAGGTACTGATATTGAACGTACCCCACCCCTTATACTGGATGTGTCGCCCAAATACTAGGTGTCTCTTCAGAGACATATTGGGTGTCAGACGTAATTAGGGGGTGCTTGCTATTAGTACGAAGGGACTACGGCAGTTATTCCTATAAGCGCATCAGTTTCAAATTCATATTCCAGTGTCGACGTCATATTCCATGTTCTTTTCCGTCTGGTTTATCATTATCCCTAAGCCCCATACTCCCTAGAACCCCCTGACTGGGACAAGACCACAAAACAGCATGCAAGTGTCACCCTAAACCCTAAACCCTAAAGTTATAAGCTTCTGAAGTGGCTGCAAGCTTAGTCTGCATGGCCCTGCAAACTCCAGGAGGGCCAAGATTTGGGGTTTAGGGTTTAGGGTTTAGGGTGCAAACTCCAGGAGGTCCAAGATTTTCGGAATTTCGGAAGCCTTGTAACTGGTGCAGGAGACTTTCTCCATCCATTGCAGGGATGTTTGGATTAGGGCTGGAGAACAAACGTGTTGGAATAAGAGTAGCAGCCTCCTGTGTTGGGTGCTGCCCCCACTCTGCAATAGTTGGATAATCTTTTTAACATAGTTAGATATAGCCCATCATATGACCCTAGTATGGACTGTTAGGCCATCGGGGCAGTACCAAGAGCATGGTAGCTAAGGTGGCACTGGCATGATCTTGAGATGTCCGATGCATCTGCAAAGGGATCCAAAACCTGATGCTCGCCCCGAACTCCTCTTTATGCGATTTGCCGTTCTCTCAGCTCAAAATGCCTGTAGGGTTTAGTGGCTTTTCTTATAAGATGCCAGGGTACTAGTCTTAGTAGTAGTGTTGAGATGCTCCCATGTTCTGGAACAGCCTTCTGATTCAATTCCTTCATTTGGCCACTCATTCCAGTCGAAGATTTTCTTGCCCATGGTTTTTAGGGCGTTTCTGTTCCGTGTGTGCTGCAGATTACATTGTTGGGCACAGCATTTAGCTGCTTGGGCCAAGCTTCATACTGCTTGGAAACCCTGTTGCAGTTCCAGCCTTGGATGCTAGTGCAGAAGATCACAACGACTAAACATCCCCGGGTATTATACATACCTAGACCTTCCACCTACTATTAGGGACCATATATCCCCAACTAAGGGTACAAGGAGGGTCCTGGTATGTATATGTTTATACATGCCTATGTATAGATACAGCCGCTTGTGTCATCAAGGTCCTTAACTCTCGAGACATAAGCACATGGCGTCCAGAACCTCGGACTCACCGAAGGGAGCCAACAACTCCAAGACCCAGGGTTTAGGGTTTAGGGTTTAGGGAGCACTCCTGACAGACTGACAGACTCTGCAATAGGTGCCGTGGCCTGGGACGCCAGCAACAGCTGCTTGGCATTCCTACAACATGTTCATGCATCTAAGCTTGCTGTTTCGGGCTCTCTTGGAAACTTCTCATTTCTGCGCAGCTCACTTGTCGTATTTACCTAGAAGGTAGGTTCGGTCCGCAACCTCCAGGCCGATTCTACATGTTTGGAGGGTACAGCTCCTCGGGGATGCTTGATGATCTGTGGTATTGGGACGTGAACAACGCCTTTGCGCTCAATACCAGCACGTCCACGACAAGCTCAATGTGGACAAGTTCAAGCACGACGACGTTGACATCGACGTTGACTAGCTCCTCCTCTTCATCGTCCTCCTCGCAATCGCAGACTGCTTCCACGTTCACACTCACTTCAACCTCATGGACTACGTCAGCCACGGTCACGTCCACCTTAACAGCCAGCACGTCTACAAGCTCTGGCACAATCACATCTTCTTCCTCTACGCAATCGACAACTTCCACAATCACCTCTTCAACCAGCACCTCTTCAAGCACTAGCTCCTCAACATCCACAAGTTCATCCATGACATTGACTAGCACTTCTACTAGGACTTCAACCAGCACTTCTTCAAGCACGAGCTCCTCAACATCCACAAGTTCATCCACGCCATTTACTAGCACATCTATCAGGACTTCAACCAGCACTTCTTCAAGCACTAGCTCCTCAACATCCACAAGTTCATTCATGCCATTCGCTGGCACTTCTACCAGGGCTTCAACCAGCACCTCTTCAAGCACTAGATCCTTAACATCCACAAGTTCATCCACGCCATTCACTGGCAGTTCTGCCAGGACTGCATCTTCGAGCACTAGCTCCACCACCATTTCAACCTCCCCAAGTTCGCCCACGCGGTTTACCAGTACTTTTACCCGCGAGCCAACAAGCACATCTTCGAGCATCAGCTCCCGCACAATTTCCACACCCACAAGTTCGCCAATGCAATCTACAGGCACTTCTACCACGAGTTCAACCAGCAGTTCCGCAACCGCTAGCTCAACTCCGTCGGATGTGATCCTAAACGCCCCTGTGGCAACGCTGCTAAAGGACCTTGCTAGCTCCGAAGAGGAGTTTGCCAGGCAGCTGGTTTCCAGCCTAGCTTCCGTGAATGGCTCTTCAAATCAGACTGGCATCCTCGGCAGTAGTCAGATACAGCCACTTGGCTCGGCATCTTCTTGCATATGCCTCAAGCAGAACCTCAAGTTCTGCAAGTCCCGAAACTTCACGGCCTGAAATCCTTTTAATCACCCCCAACTCATATAAGACTGAAGGTTCGAATCGCAAAGCTGGCATTAAATGGGGAGGAATTTGCTACTAGGTGGGTGGGTGTTTTTTCATGGGAATCATGGGAGCAGATTGCGCAACTCAATGCCCTGCAAGAAGCAAAGCAACCCTGGCCACTCCGAAAGTCAAGAAATCATCATTGGACCATTTTGCCCTGGGGCTTTATGTCTATAAACAGGACCTACATTGGCCCTAAAGTCTGTACAAATTTACCCATGCTGGGCCCCAATTTCAAGTTACTGTATGAACATTACCTGCATGTGGCAATTTTGGAGCCACAGGATTGCATGACATCCCTTCCGTTCCAGTCATTGCCATGCTATGCAAACGTTTATACGTAGATACCCTGGAATGCTCTCCGTCTGTACTTTGGATTAAGCCCTTAACCCTAAACCGCAAGGTCAGACATGGGCAGCACCCAGATCCTGGCTTTGTGCCGCAGCTGCAGCGCATGGTCCAGAAGTGTCTACTTTTTGCTGCATGCAATGTCTCTCCAGGTTACAGCGGTTCCAAGAGCTTGAGAGCAAGGATTTTGTAGAAGGCGACGTAGACCGAATGCCTGAGAACCAGATGCACGGGCACACCGACGGGGCCATGCAGGGTCTGACAGCAAACATGCAAGAGAGAGAGATAGAGAGAGACGGGGTGGACAGCAAAACCGGACACCAAAACCTTGATCTGTAACACTTAAACCATTTAAACCCGAAACCATGCCCTCTGGAATTCTACACACCCTTGAGTCCCTACTTGTAGGGACAGCTTGGGCCTTCAACGCCTCGACCGCAACTTGACAGTGCTCAGTGAGAACGCCAGCGTGGAGGTCAGCCGGGCGTGCCTTTTAAGGTTCAGAGCTTTGGGTGCAGGGACTAGAAGATGGGACTGGAATATGGAGGCCTTAATGGGTGCACAGAAGAAGTAGCATGTGGAAATTGGAAAGGGTTGTGAAGCCGACGGACTGCTGCCCAGGGTGTAGGGGCTACAATCCTGAGAGGGGCACCGAAAAGGAGGGAACCCCGCAATTTTCAGAAATCCCCGTATAGGAGTGGAGAGGCCAGGCCCCCAATGCCCGCAAATCTTTCTCCTTACACCAAGGATTATAGTGTCTTCAGTGTAATTGTAGTAGGGCTTAGGGGAACCCTTATTACCTCCCTAGTTTGCAGCCAGATGCCTCAAGAAAATCACGACCAGGGGACCCGGACAGAACATGACATTTGCAGGTGCCCGTGGACGTCATTGCCCAGGTGGCGCTTTGTTTCTTCAGTGCCGTTCAACTGTGTGTGGTGCATGTTGTGCTGGCTAGGCAGGCTAGAGAGAGGTCGCAAGAGAGAACACGCTTGTCACAGCAACACACTGAACCCTAACTAGTAGTTTCCATTTTCTTTTCCATCATCCCAATATTACCCCATTGGTCCCAGATGCATATATAGCAATCTATCTCCTATATACTTCCCGGTAACTATAGCAGTTTCCATTTTCTTTTCCATTATTCCAATATTTCCCCATTAGTCTCAGATGTATATATAGAAATCTATTTCCCTAGACCTTCCTCCTACCCTCTATTAGGGCCTAAGTACCTACTATTAGGGACCATATATCCCCAATTAAGGGTACAAGGAGGGTCCTGGTCCTATATACTTCCCGAGGGTCGTCGTAAATCAGGCCGCAGCGGCCTCGGGGAGCCCTGATGGTCTCGTAGTCCTCAGCGTCTCGGTTGGTTCCACGGAGCTGTCCGACCAGCTGGGCCTGGCAGACGGCACTGAGGGCATGCCCGGAGACTGGGATGCTGTTAAGGGACTTAATTCAAATTAATATAATAGGGAAACCATATTCATGACTACATATACCCATTATGGTAACTTAATTTAGGTTCCTGGACAGCAATCCAGGAGAGGATTCGCAGGGGCGACGTCTGGTCTCCCCACCCATCAGCATTACCTTCCGTGGGCCTGACGGCCGGGTGATCCCCATGAACTCGCTTGCAAGGCAGCCTTAGTCAGAAAGTTGCGCTTTGTTTGATGCCATAATCCCTACATCATCATACATCATCCATATACACCTTAATATCAGAAGGCCCATTGACATCCGCTTGCCTGCCACGAGCGCGGACGCCTTCTGTGCTTTTTGGGATGAGGACGAAGGGACCTGGTCGACGAGGGGCCTGGTCTTGCTTTCCTTGGAGGAAGGGATCAATGGCCCAGAACTGTTGTGCCAGACAACTCATCTGACTCTCTTCGGGGCGTTGCTTGACACACTGGTCAGCGTGGTGCGGTGTTCCACGGCCTCAGAGGTCTTTTCCGCCAAAGGTTTCGAGAATCTTGGCAAGGGCAACTGGCTATCCTACACATACGTGCCCTGCATCATATCCTGCAGCGCCACTCGGCTGGGCAGACCTTCTGCTTCTGTAATGGCAGTTGCTCAACATTCCAGTCCCATGATTTGCCCACAGCATGCTCCTATCCTTGACTAGACAGAAAAGGCCTTGCAGACGCTTCAGATCATTCCTCGTATCCCTCGTATGATCATAGACGCGTTTAGAAGCGAGCTCGAGACTCTCGACCTGGAGTGTTCCAACGATGTGAGCTATAGTCTAAACTCCTTGAAGGGGGCCATATAGGGGATTATATAGGGGGCTACTATAGGGCTTATTAAGGGGGATACTAGGAGTTTAGACTATAGCTCATGTGGAGTTTACTGAGGCTCTGGTCCTCTTCCTCCTGATGCTTTTGTACGCCGTGCGCCTGGACAGACGGAGGTCTTTGTCCAGGCGGGTCGCTGCTTTCAGGAGTGTATTCGCCCACCCCTGTACTATCACTATGTATTCCCAGTGCTACTCCCCCTGTTGCTCAACTACAGTGAATATCATCAGCAGCACCTTGTCCCCGGCTCCTGCAGGGAGTTTTTCTTATCAGCGGCTAGGGGGGATGCTTAGTATTAGGCGAAAGGGATTGCAAGATCGATTCAGTTGCTGCCTGGTCCTTTAGCAATCGGGGTGCTTGAGCTACCCCAACCCAAGAATTAGCACCCCATTATGATTGTGTGACTCTTAGGGTCCTCATTCTCAGGGTTGGGGTCAGGAAGATCCCCTCACTTTCGGCACCCCAACATTGCATGGGTGACTACTCGTTTCTTCAGTCCTTACATCTTCCCCATAACCCCTGCATGATCCTTTGTCGGTGGGGTGGTGGGCCGGTGGTGGTGGGTTGGGACTACCCTCCACTTGTCTGGGCTCATGCCTTTTCCAGCAACCTTCCGCAAAGGGCTGCATTCAGAGGATATTACAAATGCTACCACCTCTTGTTGTAATTCTTGCTGTGCTGGCCTCTGGTTAGCTAGGAATGAAGGAATGGATCCTAAAACCCTAAACAATAAATCCTAAACCAATCCCTATATAACTTATATAACCCCAATATACTATAGTAGTTTCCATTTTATTTTCCATTATCCCTATATAACCCACCCATAAAGCCCTATATGCCCCTATAAAACCCCTATATAACCCATTGCAGTAGTTTCCATTTCCTTTTCCATCCCTTCAATCCTAGCCATGAACCTTAAACCCTAGACCCTAACCAAGGGTATAGTCCACCTTAAGTAGATAGAATATGGCTTTGGGTATATCATAATAATATCCCCATATACCCCATATTCTATCTACTTAAAGGGGATTAAAACCCCTAAGCCCTAAACCCTAAAGAGTAGTTTCCATTTTCTTTTCCATTATCCCCATATAACCCCTATTTTTAGTAGTTTCCATTTTCTTTTCCATTATCCCCATATAAGTGTAGGGGGGAATGACCTAAGTTGCCATTCTCTTATCATTCAGAAGCGGAGGCATCCCAGCTTTCTCCTTGCAGGTTGGAAGTAGAGGCGGCTCTCTTGGTGGAGTCTCAGAATCAGGACTGCCCAGCTTTTATGCCTGTTTACATCCTGGGAGTAGAATGTCTTAATGGCGATATTATGGCTCCCAATTTTCAGTAAGACTCTTTGTGGGTATAGTCCCAATTACTTGTTCAGCCACTGAAACGCTTTTCGTGTGTGCGCGGGGCTCCTTTTGATTGCAGCCGTACTTGGTTCAGCCACCAAAAACGATGTTGATGCTTCTACACTGGCGGGCCTGCAGTATGTCGTGATTGCTGCCGACTTGCTGATCCCGGATGCTGTGCTCCGATCAGGAGGCCCATGATGTCAACGAGGAGGCTTATGATAACGACGAGGTGCACGGCAAGAAGGATGCGCATGATGCGCTTTGCCTTCATGCTGTTGGGTCTTGTTGGTGGGTTACGTGGGCCTTTTTTTGTTTCCGTTCAGCAGCGTGGCCTGTATTTAGCAGAACACGTTGCAGAAGCGGCCATGGGCCCAGCGAATACCCCCATGTATATCTTTAATGTTGTTGCTTGAAACCACG